GTACACCGATCTAGCAGTTTTTTTGAAGGATGTGCATCGTGTTACATCTAGCATGAAACTTAGCTTTAAAAAACATCATACTTACACTCAGACTTTGAGGGGGTATTGTGTTTGTCTGGGGCTGCTTTGCTTTATCAGGATCTGAAAAGCTTTCTGTAATTAAAGGAAACAAAATTGCAGCTCATCTCTTCCTGACCTCATGCTTTGAAAGGCTTTGAAAAAAAGTTAAATTAAAGTTTTGCATTGGAAAAGTCAAAGTCCAGTCTTGGATCTGCTTGGTGATATCTTAAATAAGTATTTCATGCTCAACAACCAACCAGTGGGACTGAGTTTGTCATGATTTGTTTAGAGGTTTTTATGAGGACCCAAATGCAGAGGCTGACAGGCAGGGGTGAGTTCTTAAAAGGTTTAATGAAGATCAGGCAGCAAAAACAGGAATCCAAAAATCCGACATAAAAATCAAACACAAACCAGAACCATGGAGACATCAGGGGAAAACCATCAAGGAGCCAGGGTGAGAAAAGGTAAGACGGGGAACCAGCAAAGAGGGACTGCAGAGGGAGTGTATTTATGGCTAACTGAACAATGGTAGGACTAATGAGCTGATAAGGAGCAGGTGTGACTAGAGCTGATGAGGAAGCCAAGGGAAAAGAACACAAGGGGGCAACAGAGGACAGACAGAAAAACCTACGCAACTTAAATGACTCCAGACACAACAATAAAGCTAGAAAACCTGGCTAAACTTGAAACTGAAAACTTGGAGAAAAACAACAGAACCAAGATCGTTACAGGGTTAGTTCTTACACGGTGATATCAAAGACTCATGGTCAATTATTGCAAAAACTCAATGATGGTTGCAGCTGCCAAGGACGAAAAAAAGAAACAGTTTGCTTGAATATTTTTTTTTCCAATTTAAAATTATTTTTGTTGAATATTCTCTGGGTAGCTTTAATATAAAGTCATAAAATATCTTATTTTTTTTTATACATTAGTGTATTTCTTAAAGATGTAATTTGTTATCCCTTTAATGTTGATGTGCTCCCCCTTCGCCTCTTTCCCCGTAGAATCCGGCGCTCCACCCTCCTCCGCCTGAGGCTCCTGTCTCACCCTGACTTTCGATTGAGTGATGTCATGAGGGAATCATTGGCCCAGGATCCTCTGACGGCTGTGGCCCCGCTTCTCTCTGAACCACACCTGTCTGCCTTGGATCGACGCCTAGCAACCGTCTTGGGGGTTGTTCAAACATGCCAGGACACAAACACGGATGTTGTTTATAATGATTTGGATCAATATGAAGATCAGCAGGTTGAGGATGATTCATGATGACATATTATGTATTTTCTATATTTAATATTTGGTTCCATATTTTTTTTATGTTTTCTAATTTAGTTTTTAGGAGTCATGTGAAAGAAACAAAGAATCTCTAAGGTCCTTTTCTTTCCTTTGATGTTCTTTAAACAGTGTCCTTATGGGCCCAATTAAACCTTCCTTTTTAACTTTTTTTATGAAATTTTTATGAAAATCATAATTAAACAAAGACTAAACTTCAACATTAATTTAACCACTTCAAAAACTTAACAAGAAATCAGATGATTTTTCATTTTAGCTCATTTGTTCTCTATCTTCCTCAATTTACAGTAATCTTTCAAATGAATAAATTGTACAAAACCCACTCAGTGGATACTTCATTAGGACGATTTTCATGCATCAGTTTGGATTATTGGTTTATTTTTCCTTCACTAATGCCTCAGTTCTTTGTGGGCAAAGATCTTTGATTGTTTTATGGCACTAGTGGACGTTTATTGTAAAGTGTGCTGACAGGAAATGGGATACAAGAGAGGGGGAGAAACATGTGGCAAAGGACCAAAGGCCTCCATGTATGGGTCGTGTGCGCAAATGAAAAATGTGGGCAGTTTCAACAACATTTCTGAGACTCTTCTCAGAGATTTTGGTTCATGTTGAACTGCAGATCTGTCATCCATACTCTGAAACTCCGGGTCCACCATGTTTCAAAGGTGCTCTGTTGGGACTGGGTGACTAGAAGTCTCTTAAAGGAAAAGTCCGGTCATATTAAGAATTCAAACTTCTGAAAGTGCTTTAAATATGAAATTAAATTATTACCCGATGACCTTATGACCCCACCTCCCCCCTTCCGGTCCCATCCCCCACGAATGATTTATGACCTCATAACCTTTTTTACCCCCCTCCCCCTTTCAACCCATCCCCCATCCTTCCGGACACTTTATGACTTAATTACTTAATGACTTCCGGAACCCTCCCCATCCTTCCACACTATTTGGTCTAAGCTGCTGGTGTTTGAACTCCCACCTTACCCACTCATAGGATTACGCCTTCTTCCATCTGATTGAGACAACTGTTTGATTCTAACACTTATTTTCCTCAAATTAGGCTTTAATGTGGGTTTAAACTATTCCATAGCATTTTTCCATCCACAAATCTTATTTTATTTTACGGTGTTCTGCTGATTTTAGAGATTTCTCTGCTTTAGCACAGCTGATTTTGATGATTGCAGTTCAGCAACAGCCTGTTAATCAACTATCAGTGTAAATTAGCATTGCTGGAGCAGAGACACCTCTAAAACCTGCATGACAGCGGCCCTTCAGGACCCACTTTGGGGATGGCTGATCTAATGTGACAAAAATCAATACACAATCAGTAATCAATAGTATAATGAGTAATGCTTTTTTATTAAGAGTCCTTTCATAAACAAGTATATTTCTGAGAAGAACTTTTACTCTCACACTTTGCTTCATCTGCTTGCTCAAGTCTGCTCTGCATACCCCCCCACCCAAACTCTATTTTCTTTATAGCGACCTTTGGCTTAGCTAATTCAACTGTAGGATAAATACCACTAGTTTAAGTTTGTCTGCCTTTTTAATTTTTCGTGTTTTGTTGATATATAGAACTTTACTTTTTCTTGTTACTGAACATGCGCTATAGAAATAAACAGGCCTCAACTTAAACCTACTGGTCCTGAATCTGGGCTATTCGGCCAGGGGCAGGAAAATCAGCTATTTCACTAAAAGCCTTTGGTTGGACCAGCAACACGGAGCTATAATATGAACAGTTAGTTTCCTGGTAATCTGGCTATTTTTAATTCTTTGTAAAGAACAAGGCTACGGTCTTCTTTAGTTACTCAATCACAAAACCATATGTGAGTGTTCTGTCAAAAAATTGCCCAAAAAATGTTCATGTTAAACCTAAGATAATGTTTTGTGCTAACATTAGGGAACCCATGGTTGTTACAACTAGAACTATAGATGAATTGGTGACAATTTCAAATTTAAATTTTTTATCAAACTTTGTTTACTTGTCAGGCAGAAGACAATAATAATTTAGAATTTGTTTAAGTTTATATCGAATTACACTATTTATTTATTTTTTTTACTCTAAACATTATTCCTAATCTCCCCAAAACACATTCTTACTATTTCTACCATAAACTCCATACTGATGACTCAGAATTTTAGAATAAGGCACTAACTACTGATTTCTTCTCAGTCAGTGATCAACATCTAATTATTTAGTTTGTTTTGTTTCAGTAGTTGGTAGGACCTTTGCTTCAGAGCTTGGGTAAATGCTAATAAATAAAAACAAGGAAGGACCAGTACTTTGATGCAAACATTGGGGGAAGTCATGTTATTTCCTGACTTTTTCTTTCAGCTTTATTCAGCTCTATCCTCTCTACCAAGCAGTCATAGGATAAGTGTCTATTTCATTTAGTTGCTGAAATGAAAGTTTACAAAAACTGATAGGACAAAGTTTTCAGTCCATAGTAGAAGTTTTAAATAAAATCTGAATGAGAGTGTAACAATTTGATTTAGAAGCATTTTTGACATAAATGAACAATTTCATAAACAGGGTGCTTTTCTTGAATTCTGATCTTTTCCTTTTCTAAAAAGAATCAACTAATTTATTCAGTTTTGTCTGTATTTTGTAAATTGTAGCAATGGCTCCTTTCAATTCAAAATCAGTTCTGCATATCCCACAATCTATCGATATTAGAATCCCATTCAATGACTGATGGGCCGAGGCCACAGCATTTCTTTTACCTTATTTCCGATCATGCAAACACCCTACTTTGATGTGTCCAAAAAAATGAAAATCAAAGGTAAATTCCAAACTTCTCATACCTAAAATACTTCTTAACAAAGTTGGTATGATAGGGGGAAGGTCCATCTAAGAATGGATATCGGAGTTGATTCATCTATAGTTCTAGTTGTAACAACTATGGTTTCCCTAATGTTAGCACAAAACATTATCTTAGGTTCTTAGGTTTAATACAAACAGTTTTTTGGGCAATAGGAGAAATGAAAAGGGTCTATTTTGTAGACTAATGCAGTGCAGATGGTATTTTGACAAAACACATATGGTTTTGTGATTGAGTGACTAAAGATGGCCGTAGCCTTGTTCTTTACAAAGCATTAAAAAGAAAAATAGAGAGAGAAATAGAGTTTGGGTGGGGGGGTATGCAGAGCAGACTTGAGCCAGCAGATGAAGCAAAGTGTGACCAACCAGTGAGGATCTACAGCAGAGGTGGGGGTTGGGTTTTATGAGCACCAGCACACACTACAGAGTAAAAGTTCTTCTCAGAAATATACTTTTTTATGAAAGGACTTAATAAAAAAAGCATTACTCATTATACTATTGATAATTGATTGTGACTTGAGTTTCGTCAGATTAGATTATGAGATGTAATTTACCTGCAAGTGAAATTTTTTTAAATCTTATTTCAGTTTAATATGGGAAAAAGTCAGAATTCTGATTTTTTTTCTCACTGAAATAAAATTTAAAAATCTGTTAACTTATTTCTTTTCCCAGTGGCCCTAATCCTCTTCCGTAAAAGTGGAATGTGTTCTACTTTTTTTTTTGTTGTTGTTGTTTTTTGCATCCCTCTGTTGTCAGGAGAGATTTCATAATAAATCCGTACCACTTTCATTTTCGAAACGTCACTAGAGGAGGTGGATCGGAAGGCACGTCCTCCTCCACGACTTTAGAAGTACTTCCGGTCACCACTGTTGCAAAAACTCAATGATGGTTGCTGCTGGAAACTCGTGAGATATTTAAGGTTAATACTTCTTAATACAGCTGATCGCGTGTGTGGGGCTGTGTTTACTGCGGCTGAAGTCACAGAGAGAAGTTGGTAGACTTTGCAGAGAAGCTCGCCCTGCAGGGCCTGCTGCGCTGACCGGATCATGGATCCACTAGATTTCCTGGAGACCGATGAGCTGCTCCGCTTTTTCCACGCTCGGAAAACTGAAATGTCCTGCATGAAAAACCCGCAAACCTTCCTGAGCCAGCTGCGAGATCACAACCTGATCCCGGAAGACAAATACCAGGTAAGCTTTTCAAACTGACATGTTTGTTATTGCCTGCTGCTCTACACACCCACATATCACATTTGGCGCCTTTATCCGTTTGGACATTAGCTGGGGAAGCGTAAGCTATAGAAGACCAACTCTGCCATATTTACAAATAAATACAGAGATAAATAAATGCTCAATAAATAAATGCTCAATAAATAAACAAGCATACAATTAATTGCCCCCCAAAAATACAATAAACAAATAAATCCATTCAGGATTTCTGCGTTACATTAACGCACAGTCTACTGTTTGTATATAGCTTCTGTGCATATATATATATATTTTATATATATTCTATCTTATTTTGCTATTTTGTTTTGTTTTTTGTCTGCACCAACAACACCAAGTCAAATTCCTTGTAAGTGCAAACCTACTTGGCAATAAACTTGATAAACTTGATTCTGATTCTAAATGTAGGTAGAAATTAAATTATACAGAGATACATAAATGTATATCTCTTTTAATTAGCTTCTTCATTTTTCCCGACTTTGTAATAATTACTTGACTCTCTCTCTTTTTTTCACTTCCATACAGAAAGTCCATATTCTTATCTTCAGGTAGCACTGAATACATGCCAGATAAAATAATACTACTTATACTTCAGTGATAGTATCTAGGTGTTACTCTATTGTACAGTGTGGAGGACCAACTCTGCCATATTTAATAATAAATACAGAGATAAATAAATGCTTAATAAATAAACAAGCATACAATTAATTGCCCTCAAAAATACAATAAACAAATAAATGTAGGTAGAAATTACATTATACAGAGAGACATAAATGTATATATCTGTTTTAATTAGCTTCTTTATTTTTTCGACTTTGTTATAATTACTTGACTCTATCTCTTTTTTTTCACTTCCATACAGAGAGCCCATATTCTTATCTTCAAGTAACACTGAATACATGTCAGATTAAATAATACTACTTATACTTCAGCAATAGTATCTAGGTGTTACTTTATTGTATATCTTATACCATGTCTATTGGTTGTGCTGTTATTTTTACATCTCTTTGCAGGTGATGAAGCAGCCTGGAGATGTTTTATCGTTATCTCCCTTTTATCTCCTCTTTCTTTAATCTTTTCTCCTTTTTTCTGTACTGTTCTACCCACATTGCAGTTTCCATATAATCTGTAAAACTCTCTGCATGAATTATAATAAAGCAGTTTATATGCATAAATCAAGCGGAACACTATGGCGATAGCCCTACTGCTCCACTTGTGAAAGTAAAATCTGTTGGGCTCTTTTTGGCATCAAGACAATTATTCTTATTGCCACATTGCCAGACAGGACAATGCTTAAAAAAAAAAAAAGTTGACTCTCTAACACGCACCCCTTACTCATTTTCATAATGAAACAGAAATGCATACAGAAATTTAAAAATGACAGGCAGAAATAAATAGCGTTGAAGAAATAAATAAGGAAAAAGATGCAAAGGAAGAATAAAACAGACAAAAATATTATCACATGCACCAAAATAAATACTTAAAAAAATAAGTAATAAATAAATAAAGCTAAAGACTATAACGGACAATAAATAAATAAGGTAATTATTACAAAGGCAAATAAATAGAGAAGCTAATTAACAGAGTTTTATACATTTATGTCTCACTATATAATTTAATTTGTACCTACATTTATCTGTTTAGTGTATTTTTGGGGGCAATTAACTGTATGCTTATTTATTTATTGAGCATTTATTTATTTATGTATTTATTTTTAAATATGGCAGAGTTGGTCCTTCATACAAACATTCATAATTAGAAAATAAAAAAATACATGGATCTCATGTTTTATTGCAACGTAATTGCAGAGACTTTCAACTAAAAGAAAGATTTTTCCACACGCAGCTTTTCGTTTTTTTGAATATTTATTCACGAATATGTAAAACTTAAATATTTCTAAGATATCAAGAAGCAATAAGGGCAAAAGTCTGGCGGATAAGTGTTATTATTTAATATGTGGTTAAGAAAGGTATTATACACAAAAAAATATATTTTTCGAAAATTACTAAAATCATGTAATGCTAGACCTTTCCCTAAAATAAAATTTTTAGTCAAATTAAATTTTAATGTAATTCACAGCAAATAATATTTTGACCTAGAGGCAATAGGCTAATTAAATCTAGCTTTATTTTTTGGGTTATTTTATGGAATGGGTAGTTTTTTCTGTTAATAAAGATGCAATGACTGATAACCGATTGGTTCAACTTGGTCCTGTGCTGTACGTACCTGCTGAAGTAATCCACTGGGAACCAATATAGGAGAGATATATATATATATATATATATATATATATATATATATATATATATATATCTATATCTATATATAAAATGTTAATTTCTAATTTCTTTTGTGTTCAGAGCATCATCCGCATGAAGAGTAAAAATAAGATTAGGACAGGTGTCTATGATATTTTGGACTGGCTGGAGAATAAGAATTCGGAACACATCCAGCTGTTCTGGAGATGTGTCTTCAAGGACGTTATCATGACCCAGTATCCCAAAATTAAGGAGCTGCACACAAGCCTCATGGACGGTAAGACTTTACAAGGTTTGCTTTTTTTGTTTGGATTTGTTTACGTGTAAAAAAAAAAAAAAAAAGTCCCTGTTAATGACGAAGCGAAGAAGAAACATTTTCAAACTTTGCTGCCAGTGTATTAAATGAGTATTTTCAATGCTTTTCATTATATTCATCAATCTGTTGATGTATTGAAAATATACGGGAAGACATTTTTAGGGAACACTATGTTTTAATTAAGTCATTCTGGAAGAAAAAAGCCCTATTTCACAATAATAGCATAGTCGTTAATGTTATCATGGCTTCCTTTATGCCTCTGTTGGCTGTATTAAGTAATTAGTATGTTCTAATTATCGTTTTATCACAGGATCTTTTCACTTTGACCTACAACTACCTGCGAAGGTGGAAAGTGAAGAAAGTGAAGAAAGGGGAAGCTCAAAGCATTCGGACATTGAGAAGGAAACTAAGTCAGCCAAAAAGAAGAGGAAAGCCAGCAGCGCGAGCAACTGTAGCAGCGGGGAGGATCAGCAGCCTGGTCTGTCAGTAAAACAGAACACAGGTCAGAGGAAAAAGATCAAGAAAATAAATTACAGTAGGTCACCTCTTTGTTTTTCTGAGTTTTAGAGTTTAAAAGATTCAGATCAACTATAAGAGGAATTATAAAAAAGCTTAATTATTTCGATCAATGATGCATGTCTCTGCAGTCTGTTAGATGTTCCTGAAAATTATGCTTTGTAGCTTTAATGAAAGGAAGGATAAATAAATCACTAATTTTAGACGATGGGAATGGGAGAAAAGTCTGAAAGTACAAACATTTTTCCATGCTCCTTTTTCTTACACTCATCCAGACTTTGAAACTACAGAGATACATTTTCATGCTTTTTTTAGGCTGCATACTGTAAACATATCATAGAGCTGAGTGTCAGTGATTTAATTAACACAATTGTCAGAAAAACAAATTAAGAGTTTATTCCTGCACCTCTCAGTATGTATTTGAGGTTTTTACTCTGAACTCTTGGAGCATCACGGCCTCTGGCTTTATAACCCAGAATCCGATGTAAACTTCATTGAGCTTCTTTTAGATTCTTCTGCATCTGAACAGTTTGCAGTAATTATGACTTCTGAGTGCAAATGAAACACTACAACTGCCATTGCCCACCTTAATGCTATGTGCTTTCTTACTCTGCCTTTCTTACTTCTCCTCAGGTTCTCCAAGGAAGGGAGAGGCAGAGGAGATTTGGACCTGGCCCCTCTATAAGAGCCAGCTGCCTGTGACCTGTGGACAAGAGGAGGGGACACTTATAAGAGACAAACTGGCCAAAGGTTAGACAGCATGAGGCAAACTCAACGTCCAAAGTGTCTCCCCTCATATGGGGTAATTTCCCTTTAAAGGCTGTTTGTTTGAAAGATAGCCAAAGACGGAAATACAAGCAGCTCTTACTATTATAAACTTTTTGTTAAAATTTCAGAAATCTTTTATGTAAATTATGCAATCTGTTGTTTTCTCATTGCTTCAGGTGAAAAATGCATCTTGGTGGATAAGCAGTGGTTCTCTCCGTCTGAATTTGAGAAGTTTGCAGGAAAAGGAAGCAGCAAGAACTGGAAGACGAGCATCCGATGCAGGAAGACCCCTTTAGGAAAACTTATTAAGGTTTGGTGGCAACACAGCTTTGGAACAGCGATATTTGCATCTTCCTATTTCTCTTAACTCACGTGCTGTTATGTGGGTAATTGCTTTGAAGGAGGGACACCTGAAGGCAGCAGCCTACAAAAACAGACGCAAACTGGTGAAAGAAAAACAACAAAGTAAGAAATCCAAATAATTTAGATTCACTTATTGTTTTCTCACCCATGTCTTTACCTGTGTTTTGTAACACTTTTCTAACAACGCCACTATTGTGGCGATTCCAAGGACAGGCGAACAAGGTGACACCTGTGACTTTGAACTATTTCCTCTTGTTGCATTGCTTCAACCAATCAATTACGTAGGGTGAAGGAATGAAGTGGAGACAAAGTGTTTTCAATCAAAATGTTAAATAATATAAAAGAAAAAAGGAATTAAGAGGTTTGTGAGTCTCTCTTGGTAAAGCAGCTTTAATTATCCCCTCAAACGGCTATTATATCGTTCTTTATTTGTCGTCCTCTTATAGCCCCATAGCGAGACACAGCAAGCCGCTATGGGTCCCAGATCTACTCAGGGCCCTGCTTCTGCTGATGATGTCACTATAATTCAAGACTGCTCAGATAAACTTTAGTTTCATAAGAATCAATTCTTCTCAGGAGATCTGAAGTAGCTGAAAGTAGAAACCAAACATTCTCAATCTTGAAGGCAAGTACTGCGACATAAGACGGACTGAGCTGTGCACATCTAATAATGTGAAACAAACAGTTTGATTTCTTGGAACATATTACAACAAAAACATATATATATATATTTTTTTTTTTACTGTCTGGCAATGTGGCAATAAGAATAATTGTCTTGATGCCAAAAAGAGCCCAACAGATTTTACTTTCACAAGTGTAGCAGTATGGCAATTGCCATATAGCTCCACTTGTTTCATGCATGCAAATTGCTTTATTATAATTATGCAGGGAGTTTTACAGTTTATATGGACACTGCAATGTAAATAGAGCAGAAAAACAGAAGAAGAAAAGGAAAAAAGAAAGAGAAAAGATGAAAGAAAGAAGAGAAAGGAGACAATGACAAAACATTTTCAGTCTGCTTCATCACCTGTAACAAGATGTAAAAAGAACAGCACAACCGAAAGACATGGTACGAGACATACAATAAGTCAACACCTTGAAACTATTGCTAAAGTAATATTATTAAGTCTGACATGTAATCTGTGTTAACTGAAGATACGGATGTGGGATTTCTGTATTTTGTTTATAGATTTTAGACAAATAAATCAGTAGCTAGATACTTTAAGATATACAGCAGTTCTTGTTAACAAGTTCAAAGTTGCGTAATTCAATTTGAGTGACTGACCAAGCTGATCTTATAGCGTCTGACCCAAGCCAGTTAGAACTCTACTCAGGTCGGCCTTTTATATCATGTTCTCACAGTTACTTCATTAACCAAAAACAGATCTTTAAAGCTTTATATCCATTAGGTAAAACTTTATTGATCATTAGACACACCAACAGTAGAGGGGCCTCTAACTGGTTACACTGATGCCACACTATGTTATTCTAGTTGTCCAGACCAACCACAGTTTTACATCATCCTTACAACGTTCAGCCAGTCGTATAGTTTAAGAATGGAGGCAGATCTGGTACCTACACAGCCTCTGTCCAGTGTCTTTCCCCAGCCAGAGGTGGCCTTGGCCACCCAACTGCCTCTACCATGTTCTAGTAAACTCTCTGCCTTGCTCTCCCACTATGTTCCTCTGCCCTCATGCTGTCCTTGCTCCACTCCAGAGTCAAGCTCTGAGCTCCAGAACGCCGCCTCCCCTTACCTCTGTTGACCAAGCGATTCTCCCTCAAAGCGGGATAGTTCCTGGTCCCATTTGTTTAGAAGTACTGTGGAAAGTGACCGTGACCTACAGCTTGATCCTGGAGTTCCAGAACTTGGAGCATCTCTGGAAGATCTGCTTGGCATCACTGTTCAGCTTTCCATGATGCATAGTTATCCACTCAGTAACATCCAGGTTGTCTGTGCTTAGTTGAAGCCGGTAGGCAGCAGATAAAAGCTCCTTCTGTTTGATGAAGCAGTGAAGCGTCAGGAGTTGAGTTTGTCGCCTCCCCTGTGAATTCGACTTTGTCCCCAGATTCACGTTCGGTGTGAACACACCTTTAGAGGAAAAAAACACCCTGTTTCTTACCATTTAAACAGTTGTATGCAGTTTTATAAACCGATGTGAGATATTGATTTTTCTTTTATATAAAAAATAATATTTTTTTTACTGTCAGATGAAGAAGAGAGTGAAGATGAGGACAGTTCAATGGAGGAGCAAACAACTGGAGATTCCACAGGTGACGGTTTCTACACTGCATTCACTTAGAAGAAAAAAGCCAACATCATTGCAGGGCTTTACTTTGATTCATTCAATATCATATACATGCATTTTATCTCATAAAGGAGACGAAATGGAAGCACAAGCTGAGCCGTTAGAAGTCACATCTGATCAGGGAAAGTTTAAAGTGACGTGTGGAGCTTTGACTGGAACTTTACACAAAAAGCGGTTTGGATCAGGTAACCACCTACAGAGTAATAAAGAACAAGTATTTAGCTAAACAACAGTTAAGCTATCAGAGATCTACTGTCATATGAAAATCTCTGTTTGTTCCCTCTAGGGAAATGTGGGAAAAGTATTCGCACTGAGCTGAGATGGCTTACCCCAGTGGAGTTTGTGAATGTGGCTTTAAACCAGAGTGATGCCACTTGGAGGAAGGACATCCTGTATGATGGCAAACCCCTCAGTCATCTAATAGAGGTAAACATGAATCCTCCTGTGAAATCAGTGGAGCTGAGATTCAGGTTAGGGACGGCCTGGGTGTTTTTTGTGCTCTAAAAACACATTTGATTATAACTCTTAAAGGGAAAAAGGAAAAGTTATTTGGTTTTAATGCCTTAAACTATGAAATAGAAACTGAGAGGTTGTCAATTTTTATCTCTTTCAGGCTGTTGATTCACTCGTTACTCTGCAAATGCAACCTGTGCAAACCGAAACCTGAAGACCTGGTAATTTTTTTTCCAGTCAATTTTACTCAGCATTCATCCTGAAATATGAATGTAAGTTTGAATGTAATATTTGCATTGGACCGATTTATCTTTCAGGATAATCAGAAAAACGATGATGAGTGTTGCATCTGTAAAAGTGAAGGAGAGGAGGAGTTGGTTGAGTGTGATAACTGCCCTCGATCATTCCACCAAAACTGCCATTTGCCTCGTGTAGACGACGCTATTCTGAGGTACAAACTAAAACTGATTTGAAAGTATCTGTGTTTGGAAATTAACTGCTTTTCTTTGGTCTGTTGGGTTTAATGAAAGTATTTCTAGTATTTTCTTTCAAAAAATGTTTTACCACTCTTGTAGATAAAAGATGCATACCTGGATTTTTAAAAGCAAAATTACTTTAAATTTGTTGTTTATATTTAGAAAAGTTTGAAAACAGCTGTAAACCTGAGCAGTGGGTAGCACACCTTGCAGGTGGAAGGCTGTGGGTTTGATTCCTGGCCCGGCGTCTTTCTGCATAGAGTTTGCATGTTCTCCCTGTATTTGCGTGGGTTCTCTCCAGGTACTCGGACATCCTCTCACAGTCCAAAAACATGACTGTTACATTAATTGGATGGATGGATTTGAGTTCATTAAATCCAGGCTGAATTAACTATATTTTATTGAATTTATCATAAACCAAACAACACAACAAAAAAAAATGAATTTGCACTTTTCTGTAGTGCTGAACTGAAAGCCAGTTTGTGAATCAAATGACTGGGTTGCTTTATAATTTACTGGCAAATGCACGGATACAGTAATATAAATATAAACCAGTTTGTACTTTACTATCTATAAAAGCTATCAAGAAAAACCTAAAAGAATCCCACTTCTGGGAAATCTATTAATTATGGATCTTTTAAATGCAATAACTTAAATTATTGTAACCCTTAGAAAGGACTGTTTTCAAAACCTGCATCTGTGTAAACTATTTAAGATTAGGAGAGTATTTTTAATTATTTATACATGAACCAAAAAAATCAGTATTCAGCAGGAACTTAGCAAAATGAAGGCTTGGGTGGGTTGATCATTAGGAATCATGTTTCCATACACAACTTTGAGTATAGAAAAGATAAGAAATGTAACATCGCCGTCAAGCTGAACACCCCTCTTGCAGGGTGTAAAATTCAATTTAGTTTATTTCTATAGCACCAATTCATAACACATGTCATCTCAAGGCACTTTACAGTTCACCAGATAATACAGTCAAATTGATTCAATGTTTTCTATCTAAGGAAAACCAGCTGATTGCATTGACTCACTGACTGGAATGCAAACCCCACACTAAGCATGCTTGTAGCGACAGTGGAGAGGAAAAAAATACCTTTTAACATGAAGAAACCTCCAGCAGAACCAGGCTCAGTGTGAGCGGCCATCTGCCGAGTCTGACTGGGGTTCAAGGAGACAGAAGCAGAGATACAAAAAGCAACTGCAATAGGCGGCCCCGTCCAGGAAACACACAGCCGGGCAGATGAGCTCTGAGCCAGCTCCCATGCCAGACGATGAAGAGAGCTCATCCAGCCAGTCACAGTCAGAGATACAGGACTAGATTGGAACACAGGCAGATCTCGAACATCCTTAAACAACGGTGTTGATGGCAGCAGCACAGCTGATATTTCTCTCCAGGATGGTGTCACAGCCAAACAGGAACAGACCAGATGAAGCTTCTATTAGAAAAAGCAGAGAGAGCATTAGAACATTAGAGATTGAACTAACAGATTCTGCAGACTGGGAAAATGGCGATATAATGAAGCAGAATGATGAAATAGGGGTCCCTGTGTCCTCCAGAATTCTAACCCTATAGCAGCATAGAAAGCTGAGGATAACCTGAGCCCCTCTAACTATAAGCTTTATCAAAAAGGAAAGTTTTAAGCCTACCCTTAGAAATAGACAGGGTGTCTGCCTCATGGACTAAAACTGGTAGTTGGTTCCACAGGAGAGGAGCCTGATAACTAAAAGATCTGCCTCCCATTCTATTTAAAAAAATTCTAGGAACCACGGGTAAACCTGAAGATTGAGAGCGAAGTGCTCTGTTAGGGACATAAGGAACAATCATATCTCTGATATACTGAGATCTACACCTTTAAGTCAAAGAGGCTAAACAGGTGATATGCATACTAGACTTATAGTATGCATAGAAATTAAATAAATAATGCAAATAATTTATGTAACATAAGCAATCTCATGCTGCACCATGCAGATGCTCTTTCTGCGCTGATGATCACTCACCTCTGCAACTAATATTTCACTTCCTCAAATTTTGCCCTATTTTTTACAATACAAGAGGAATAAAAACAGGATTCAACTACACTTCACAGTTCAACTGGTTGAACTGTAAAGTGCCTTGAGATGACTTGTGTTGTGAATTGGCGCTATAGAAATAAACTGAATTGAATTGAATTGAACTATCTATATACGCAGTGTTAAATTAAGTAATTGTGGTACTTAGTGTCATAGGAGAAGCATATTTTAAGACGCCAAAACTATCTGCAAGTCTCAGATTTTAGTTCTTTTTTATATTATTGGTATTATCCCAGCATTTATGTAATTAATTAATTAATTAATTAATTAATTTGTGTTGGAAGACAGCTGATTATTTCTGTAATCCTGTTGAAATATTGGAGGTATAAAAAAGTTTAAATCCCCTTAAAATTTGGAGTTATTCTACATGCAGGGACGACGGTCAGTGGATGTGCACCTTCTGCATTTTTAAAGCCATAGAAGAGTGTCGCTACCCAGACAAGCAGAGAGCCCAAGCCGTCATGTCCCGTCTGATATCTCAACAACTGCTGGTGAGCTTCTCTTTCTCCGTTCCTGTCCGAACATCTGTTTATTTTAACGCTGTTCACTTATAAACGCTACTGCAACCAACCATCTCTTGTTCCTGCGGACAGGAATGCCAGTATCTCCTCCTCTATCTGTGCAGTGCTGATGAGGAGCAGATATTTGCCACCGACCCTGGGCAGTATGTAAGTCATTATTCTTGTCTAATTCAATGCAAAAAAATTATAGCTGCTTGGTTAAACATCCCATTTTCAACACCCGTTGTGAAAACGTCATTTCAGAAATATTGAAACTTAAACTTATTTTTTATTGAAACCCACAGTTATCAAATTATTCCAGTATTATCAAAACTCCAATGTGGCTGGACAAGATCGCAGATAAACTCAAGAGGGAAGAATACCAGACGGTCAGCGAGTTTGTGTCTGATGTTCAGCTCATTTTTAGCAACTCTGCTACATACAACAGGGTAAGAAAATGTGTCGTTGTTTGATTGATTGTTCAAGGTTTCAAAAATATGATCAATGAATTATGTAAAAAAGACATGCTTTAGTTTATGATTTAAATGTCAACTCTTATGTATCTTTATTTTTTATCTTAATGAACGTCCCAACAAAAGAATTCATGTGCAGGAACCTTTTCTGTTTTGAAAGACATTCTGATTAGATGCTACTTTTAAAATTATGCCTAGAAAGCTGTGTTTGTTGGATAAGAGGTTGTTTTAATTAATTTATAAATGCCTGGCCCAAGTTTACTAGCATCTTTCCTCAAAGCAGCCTAAGGACCTTTGCCATTTATCGTCTCACTCAACTAGGCCTATCACTTAACAGTAACCAGTGTTGGGCACGTTACTTTGAAAAAGTAATTAGTTATAGTTACTAGTTACTTCTCCCAAAAAGTAACTGAGTTAGTAACTGAGTTACTCCACAATAAAAGTAACTAGTTACTAGTAAAAGTAACTTTTGCGTTATAAAGCTAACCTTGACCAGGTGTGATGATAGAAGCCCGGCTTTATATTTATGTTTATAGTAGGGATGCACGATATTGGGATTTTGGCCGATATCCGATATGCCGATATTTTAAAACTCATGTAGCCGATAACCGATACCGATGTTAAAGCTGGACAAAAATAAGTAGTCATTGAAAATAGCAGTTTTGTTATCCATTTCTGACACTTTGAAAAATAATATACTCAAATATATTTTCATATGCTGATATCAAAATTATTTTTTAAAACGCGGTATCGATCTATTTTACTTTCAAAATCTCGTGAAATTTCATCGTTCTGTTACAAACTCTCGTGATATTTTGCTAATTCTTGTGAGATTTTGTTAGTAAAATAGATCGATACCGCGTCAATATATCAACATATAAAAATATGGCAAAATTTTGTGAATTTTCGGGGGATTTCGTAGCATAACGATGACATATAGCAATATTTCATTAGTAAAAGAGATTGATATGGTGTTTTTAAATGGCAATATATCAGCATATGAAGATATTGTGATATTTTAATGTATCAATATTTTTTCCCTCTTCTTTAGAAGTTTTTAAGTCTGTAAAAAGAAGTTTTTGAGGAAGAAGAAGAAGTTGTATTTTTTTTTTTTTTGACTTTAGGAACTCAGAAGCTGATCAAATATCGGGTTAAATATCGGTGGGGTGGCCGATGTCTGATATTCAGTTTTTAGGCCGATACAGGCCGATACCGATAGGGGGCCGATTATATCGTGCATCCCTACTTTATAGATTTATTCTTGCAAAGTGACTCACAAAGTAGGCTTTAACAGGAAGGGTCTAAGCAAATCCAGGACCTCCTGTGTGGAAGTCAGGTGACTTAACACTAGCCAGCCACAATTGCAGCATGAGAGCCTGATGAATGAGGAGCAGAAAGCCAGAGAAAAGCAGAAATGAAAATGCTTTCAAAGCTGAATGTGACAGCTGCAGTGTAGAGGCACTTTAGATTTAAACCCAGCAATAATTCTATCGCTAATTGCAGTTATTTCTGGGAGAATTTATTGTCTAGCAAAATTTTTTATCATAATAGGCCCAATCTCAGCTCCAGTTGCTCTCGGCATACTTTAAAATAAAGGCCACTAAAGAAATAAAGGAAAGCAAAGGACATCAAGGATGTTTTTAAGAGATTTTGAAGTAAAGTAGTTTTTTGGGTGAAAGGTCAGACTTCAGGTGTTATTTGCAATACTTTTCTAAAAAAAATTTGCCAGAAGAAAAGTTGACTTTTTAATTTTAATAAAGCTCTTATTTTTTATTTAAGGAGGCGCACAACCCTTAGTATATGTTCAGTTGAGGAAAATTTAGGGCCGCTGTACAAAATAAATCCCAAATAAAAAAAAAAAAATCTCCAATGTTTTAACATTTTAGTTAATAAAAAAAAATAAGGCAGCCCTTTTCTTAACAGTTTTTTTTTTGGGGGGTTGTTCTTTAAATACCACATTTTTCTTATTTGTGACCTATTAACCTATTAAACCTCTGTTTTCTCTTATAGAACAATCCAGAATACCTTGAAATGAGCAAAAACCTGAAGCAGCTGTTTGACAGGGAATTTGAGAGAGCCTTCAACATCCAGGACTGAACCACAGCCTGATGGAGAAGATTTCTAACATCCACGGACGCTTTCTGTAAATTACCAAACATTTCATGCAACATTTAGGTTGTTCTTTATCTAACTAAAGATTAAAACCTTTAGTGATTTTATTTCAAGTTTTACCAATGAAAGAAGATGTAAGAATACTTCAGTAGGTACTTGATACTCCTGGAAAAGTATTAAAAATGTGCTTTAATATGTACTAAATTAGGGCAAAAATAGATCATGATGCATGGATGGTATCTCCAGCATCAGAATACCACCTTAAATTCAGAAAAGCTTTCTTTATCTATATATTTAGGCAGGAGCTGGGAAATCTAGATTTGCAGATTTGGTCTCTTGTGGCCTATTACTTTTAAGTCTGTACAGGTAGGTACACTGTGTCCCTGGCTTACAGCAAGGCACTGGAAAACTTCCAAAAGCTACCTTGTACTGAAAAAAATTGTATTAATTGTGCTGAAAGTTGAATTTCTGATTGCTGCAGGAGACTCTCAACATACAGACTAACAAGCATTAAAAGGAGTCCATGTTTATGCAGCAAATATCAGATCATCCACTCCAAACATCAGAATCAGAAATACTTTAATAATCCCAGAGGGAAATTACTTCCCTGGCTTCATGGCTTCATACAAGCTGCTCCGAGTTTTGGACCCGTGGTATAAATGTACGCTCAGGAGCTATAACCAGGAGCGCTTTATGGGGAGGGAGTTACGAAAATTATAAGGACCCTTGACTGAGGGGGGGCTCAAAAGCAAAAGAAAATATACGTCCCACTATATGTTACAAATATAAAAAGAAAATCCAGCAGTAAAATTATTAATCTTTGTGTTCTCCCTTGTTTTCAGCAGTAAACAGGCTTCCTCCTGCAGTATTAAAATCTGTGTCAATATTAAAACAGTTTAGTTAGATTTTTATATTCATATCTACAGTAATTCCAACCATAAAAGACAATAAAATCTGTAAATCTTGGTCATTCTCAGCAGCTGCACCAAAAATACATGTTTTGTTATTACACGTATACATGGATGAAATACTAATTCTCAGGACCAGCTTAAAAATAATCTGTCCTTTATCAAATTATAGCAAAACCTAATAGGAATATATCTTCCACAATCCAAAACCTATTTTCTATTAATGTGCACAGATATACAGCTGTGTTTTTCTTTGTTTTATATAAGCGGTTATTATTTTGATAGAACGGTTTTAATGTAAAGCTTAAAGTGAATGTATATTTAACTTTTTTGCAGTCTGTTATTTTTTTATTGTAGAAATTTTACAGTAACAATTACATTGAAAATGTAAAGGAATCAATATCAATGCCTTTTTTTTTTTTCATTCAAAAAGTTTATTTCAAACCTGCACACATTTTACAATACATATAATGACAAACAATACATGCATGGCTTGAAAAGGGGATGGAAGAAGCAAAAGCTTATACATGTCCAATCCCCTCCCGCTCATCCCCAGGACACTCCTGCAAACAAAAAGACAAAGACAAGACAAACAACTCATCCACACTTATGCATACAAGACAACACACTGGCCCAACGCTCCCCGTCCCTGCAACCCCCTCCCTACATCACACCACCCTCATAGAACATCACTCACTCTCTTCCAGGTATTTTCTCAGGACATCCCGCTAAAATATTTTTTGAAACGGTTTATATTTTCACAACACTTGTGTTCCTCCGTTAAATTATTCCAGAGGGTGACACCATGACTTGAGATGCACATTGATTTTAAGGTAGTTCTTACTTTTGGTTGGTATAATTGATTTTCCCCTCTAAGATTATAAGTGTGAAGTGCGTCCCGCTCCTGAAAGAGTTTTAACAGATTTTCTGGAAGAGAGCCAGTTGATGCTCTGAACATTATTTGCGCGGTTCTTAAGTTCACAAGATCAAACTATTTTAAATTGCAGGATTGTAAAAACAATACATTTGTGGGATGTAAATAATTTACTTTATGAACAATTCGAATGGCTCTTTTTTGCAGCGTAACCAGGGGCTGAAGATTGGTCTTAAAATTGTTTCCCCAAACCTCGATACAATAATTCAAATACCTTTCATGGGGCCCCAAATTCCTGGCGAGGCCCCTGGCTATAGCAATCACTGACACCCTTTCCTCATGAACCATATTCAATAGGGCTCATATGATTTGCAGGATAATCAACAACACTGATTCAAAAAAGATGAATCAGTGCAAAACTTAATATATTTAAGCATAAAAAGTATAAACATTAGCACATCACTCAGTGTTTCATATTCAGTGGTATGAAGTTTAAATCGCATGCAGTGTACAAAAGCTGCAGCAGAGGGCGGAGTTCCCTACTCTGTCTGTGTTCTTATTGGCCAGCTTTTGTTCAGTCTCAATTAGCATCTGTTTTTGGTCTCCCAATATTTATTTTACTTTTAAAACAAATATATTACTTATATTAAATATATAAATCTCCCCTTTCAGATCACTTTTTCATTAATTAAATAAAAACAAAAAAATAACTCCATACAATCCGTGTAGACGAAGGTACTTTTTATCAGTTTGATTAAACGGTATAATTCAACATGGAAAAAACAGAAAAACGTCCGTTTTCTCCTTTTTCTCCTCAGAAAACGAATCGTTTCCCGTTTTGTGGTTTCTGCACATAAAACCAAAATCCATTAAACGGCTTGATTTTGGTTTTTTCGTTTTCGCCCCCAAAACGAAAACAGCAGTCAATTTTCGGTTTCAGAAGTGGGCGTGGCTTTCAAGCCCGCCGGTCCGGTGCCCTTCAAAATAAAGGCATGGCATGGAGAAACTTTCGTTGTATTTCCTGCCCTCATCGTAGCTTTTGCTTGTGTTCGAAATTAAAGCAGGTCTTATACATATATAAATATATACATATATTTAGACGTAATATATATTACTCGGAATAAAGTCATCAGAGAGATTTAACTGCGACAGAACAGACATGGTAAATTTGACACTCACGACAGGTATTTTAAATGACCAGCAGATGTCGCTGTGCATCAATGGGACAATTAATCGCAATATCAAGCGTATTTTACCACCTCATAGTCAATAAATGGAACATTTATGAAACGGAGTGCTGTGTGAGGAACTTCATTTTTGTGGCGGTAAAAAATCTGGAATTTTTTTAGAGATATATCTGGGAAAACAGCCAATACAAACAGGAGTGAGGTGAAAAAAATTATCCCTGCATTTCCATGCCTGAGATGTTTGTACCTCTACGGCAAGATAATATTCTTATGTAAATACATACTGATAGGATACTATGCAAACTCAATTTTAACAGTCTTGCCGGGGCTGGGTGATTTGATTCTGCGCTGGGACATCGTCCTGCGCTTGAATTCAGATGTGCATAAAGGTACATGTTGATTCGCACTTTTTAGTCGCATATGAGGGGACATGTAACATCAGGGGCTTTGGCTCAGACCCGTCATTTGTCCTTGTCCCTTTACAGTCTTTACGAATTAATTCCGTCCGCTGCAACAAAATCTGAGAACGTGAAACTGAGTCTTTGGCATGCGTAATTACGCAGAGCACCCTGCGCAATAGAGATTTGTCTGATCAAAGCAGCGATTGAGGTGACAAACCTGTCGCTGTGAAAGGGGATGAAAATTATTATAAACGTTAAGAGGTTAGAAGTGATTGGAGTTGAAAAAAAAATACTTTTTGTTGCAGTAAATTATATTAGAATAACTGTCATTCTAATTTATATTTTAAGATTCAGTAAGATCTAGAGTTTTTATACGTGATACGTGAAGTAATACGTGAATTATATAGTTCGAGTGAGATGTATTTAGGTTTCCTTATACCATTAAATATGAATTATTGTATGTACATACACTTACATTCTAAACAAACTTTACTATGAAAATGCAGGGTTTTGAGACGTACGCACAACGCATGCGCACTATGGCTACAATAGGACCGACTTTCTGTGTATAATGTTTATGTTCTTAATCTGTTCACAGAAACAGAGCATTGATGTGAGAAGAGAAGCCATTATCTCCAGCCTTATACTGTACCATGGGAAGAAGGAATATGACTTTTTTAGGACTGCTTGGTCATGTTTTCAAACATTTAAAAATAATTTTGAACAAGGGGTTCATTTAAAGGGACATAGTGTTTGAAAGTGATTCATAAATGGGTAATTATCGCAGCATGTTACCATTGTGAAATTTCTTTCAGACACTCCGGCTAGGTTTAGGTTTCCTGCTTTATTTTATATAGTTTTTAATATTTTAAATTCAAATATTGTATAGAAAGAAAGAAATGCATGGAAACCATCTGTGTTACCGCTGTCTCACATCAGATGGGATACCCTCACAGCACAGGGGAAGAAGCTGTTTCTGAGTTTATTATTTTTTGATTTGATGTTTCTGAAGCGTTAATCTGTAACAATATCTAGTATAAGTCATTTTGCCTTATGTAACTGTGGTGTAAATAATTGTATGCTGAAGTTATTGGCTTGCTACAAGAGTGATTGATTTGTAATGTTTGTATGTTACAGTTTACGATGGCTAAAGCGATGGCAGTGGTCAGAGGCCACTCTTCAATAAACAACTGATAAGAGAAAGAAGTTTGGTTATTGGAGTGTTGTTGTCTGGCTGTCTAGCCGGCTGAAAAGTTGGGAAAACTCAGGGTGAGGACAGCACAGTGATGTCAGTAACTCTGTTTTCAAAATCTGAGAGCTATGAGATTGTCCCAGGATGCAAGAGTACAGCGAAAGCTTGTCCACTGCTTATGGGACTGATTTATGCCCTGAACTGTGCATACCCTCCTATTTTGTGCTACACTTTTAAAGTCCTCTAAGAACTCTAGCTGGAGATGGATCAATTTAAACTCTACACAAAAGAAAACACCCTGAAGTGAAAGTTACTGTCATGATTCTGTCTTCCTAGAGGAGGAAAATATTTCTGTAATGAATGTTTTAACTCTGACAGTGTTGTAAACTTTTCACTACATATTTAAAAAACACTGTTCCAGTTTGAATGTAAAATTTATCACTGCCCCCTAAAGAAATTTAGAAATTGAATTCACACTACTAGTGGAGTTACTTATTTGTGAAGCAGTTTCTTTAATGCATAGAGTATTGCTTCATTTTATTTGTAAACGTTTATCCAGAGACAACTGGCATCAAATATATTGTTTTAGTGCATAGTTTAACATAATGCAAAAAGTCAAAAATGTTTACTTTAATTTCATGTCATAATTACATGAATTGCCTTTAAACCTTAATGGCACATTACTTAATTATGTACAAAAAATGGAAATATGTTATGTTCTATTGTAAACTTTAAGCTATTGCCTTATGTAACTAGTTTTTACATTTCATTCCACTTTAATAAAACTTTGTCTTAAATAATGCTGTGAAGTTATTGAAATGTCAGCCTATGGTTCAGCTTGAATAAGGTTGAGATATTTAAAAAACATTTTTGCCTTTCTAAATAATTTTAACCTGGGCATTTTTTTACCTGTATGGGAGTTCTTTGAACTCCAGAAATAATATGACTTCTCTGCAACTGTCTGGAGAGTGAACTATACTGTCATTTAGTAAAATAATAAAACATTTTTTGCCATTAAATTTGGTAATTGTTAGTGAACCATCTCAACGACTTTTTGATCATGAGCTATTCTAATGTTACAACACACTGGTGGTGAACACTTAATTGTCTCTTCAGTGGTGTAGAGAGGGTGTGAATAGTTCTTCACTTACAGCAGCTTGTGCAACATCCTATCTAGACTCGGCTCTAACATCCAGAGCTATTCACAGCACAGAGCCAGTTTCTTCAAGTCTATGTTTCTGCTGCACCAGCAGAACTGTCAAACATTTTTCTACGTAAATAGTTCTACAAGGCATTGCTCATCCTTTTTTGCATTGTGTTCTGTTTTCTTTAAAAGGGATAAACACTAGAGTTATGTTTGAATGACTTCAAAACAAAACAGGAAGCACAATTCAGACAAAAATACAAGATGAAATATAAACCAATTTAGTAGCTGTACTGATCCAACAAAAAAACAAAAACAAGTAGTTAGCCAAAAACTTTTAACATATTTAACATGAACCAATCGAATAATAAAAAACATAATACATTAACATGAAATTTTAAGTATTTACTCAATTAACTTCAGGCAGTTAAGTGCTTCTGCGAGTCCTGCTACTTCTGTGTAGCTTGGCAGGTCATCTCTACACTTGAGGCACTGATCAGAGTTGTTCCTCCACTCCTGAACATACTCCGCACATCCCACCAGGCTCCGACAGCAGGAAGTAAACATGGGGCGAGTCATAACAGCTGAATAAGGACAGATCAGTTTAATACATTCTGCACAGTTCTTCCAGGCTATGCATCTTAACAAAAAAACAAAAACTATATTCCACTATCATAAATGTACAACAGAAAGCACCTTGAGTGCCCCAGTG